GTTACTACATTGTGCAAAGCTAGTACACTAAAAACAATTATGACATATTACTGTCAACACCTCTCTCAAAAAAATCCAATCATGGTAAAGGCATTGCTTAGCAAAACAGGTAGATGCAGGTAAAGACAAGAGAGACATTTAGAATAACATTGGTTGGTAATAATTGCCATACACAAGGTACATGATACATAGCTATCTATCCCATGCACAGCTTCCATAAAGCAGACTGATAATTATATTTATTTGTACAGATTAGGAAGACACCTAAATACCTAACCAACATAAACAAACAATATACCTGATGCATTAAAACTATTTAATATTGTTTCTACATGTGAATCTTGATTACATTTCTCCACTGTACACACGCCTTCTTTAATACTGGCAGCACTAGGCATTTTAAGATTAGCAACAGAGGCAAGTGATGTAGCAGCACCAACTGTAGTCCCAGCAACACTTGCTGCAACATTGGCAGCAGATGATTTAACTGTTGAACCTATCAAGGGAAAGTTTAATAATGCCACAGTCAGCAAGATATAGTTACATAGAGATACAAGAAACCTTGCTAATACCAATAGAGAGTGACTCCCTATCTACATACACATAGCATTCATTCTGCCTAAATTTGACCCAATAATTCTTCTATTAGTTGGACCCTAGTTGGACAACCTAATATTCATTGAAACTGTAATTCATTATTCCTCTAGAAACTCAACCACATAACATTCACTGTACCAAAATCTCATCAGGTCTAATGACATTAGATCATAGGTTTGAATTTTAGTCCAGTCAGTGGTTCTTGGAATACATGTATGTGTAGACAAATATTTGACACAAACACAAACACACATATGAACAGACAGACAGATAAACAGACAGATAAGAAGCTAGATGGAAAGACAGGCAAGCGGATGAACAGAAATTGGTAGCAAACTACCTCCGCAAACAAAAGCCAAAAATGATATTACATAACATGTAAATTTTCAAATATAACAAATTGTTGATGGTCCAATAATGAAAGGAGAGCAGACATGTACAGACACTGGTAGCAAATCACCTCCACAAACAAAAGCCAAAAATGTAGTATACATGTAAATTTCAAGGAAAGAAGAACAGTATGTTTGATGTGGTATTCCTTAAACATGTTCCTATGGTGACATTGTAAACACCCATTACCCAAATCAATCAACCATGGCATTTTTATTTCATCAATTGTCCATCAAGAAATCTTACAAAAAAAAACGTATCCTCTAATATTACCTTACCTGAATCAATCATTCTTGGCATTGCTATCTCATCAATGTCTATCAAGAAATCATCTCTAAAGAAGAGGAAGCCCACAATTGAGAATAAATACACCAAGATGATGGCTAACAAAGCAGTTAATAGAATGGACCGGCCATTACGAGTAACTGATTTGATAACGTTAATAAGGGTTTCTTCCTGGTAAACAACATCAAGTAACTAGTGAGAAATAGAACAACAGAATTTTAGTAAAAAGCAATATGTTGGATTATATTGATAAAGACATGCCTTGTTATTAGATTTGGAAGCTGTACATACTGCTTCATTGACTATAATGTCCTCTTAGTTGTAGATTATGAATTAAAGGGCGGTGGTCGTCGCACTGTGTCCTGTTTGATATGGGACTCATATCGACATACACAACACGTGTAAAACACAATGTTTGTTTACATGAAATTCGAACACACGCTGCGCGTCGACTACCGCGCTTTAAATAGAGCACCTTCTAATGGTACACAAATTAACAATGCATGGTGCCCTCTACTTGTGCAAAGTTACTCAAAATTGGAAAGACAAGTTACAATTTTAAATAGAGCACCATCTAAATTGATTAAACAATATATACTGCCCTCTATGGTGGATAATAGAATATAACAAGACAAATGATACAACTTACCAAGATACTGTAGAAAAATTCATGCACACACAGCGCCAATATACAGAATAATAAATAACATATGTTGTAAAGAAATTCAAAGTCCATCATCATTGCTTTTATTCCTTTGTTAAAAGTACCACGGTTACCAAGGAAACTGACAAGAAATACTCCTTTATTTAGTACCTAGAATGAATAAAGTATTAAAAAAGTTCTATAATCGTAAATCACAGAATACTAAACTATAAAACAGAGTTAAACTATGAACACCCTGCTCAATTTTCAGTGACTACCCGGTATGTCAATTATTAACAATGAATCAAAGAAAGCTTAGAAAGAACTCCCGTGTGCTGAGGGAATAAGGATCATGATGTAATATTCGGGAATATTTGAAAATGATAAACAAATTATGAATAATCTATTAAATAAGGAGCCACCAGTAGTCATCTACACACATAGACATCGTATACCTACAATAAGCCTACTTAAAAATATGCATAAAAAGTCTACACAAAATTGCAACATTAAAAAGAAAACTGAAATAATTCATAAAACATTGGGGAAAATGAAATGCAACGAAAATAGTAAACAAATAAATGCCCAAAATAAACTTATAGAGCATTTAAAAATATTTTAGAAATTTAGTTAACACGGAAAACGTGAAGTAGCAAGAACAACTATATAAATTTCTGACAAACAATCACAATCTAAATATCTAAAATTCAAACCACTATCTTAATATCAATATTTGTGTCAATAAATATTATATTTATTTATTTTCAGTTACGTATATTAATAAGGAAGGCATCACAATCTTTTAGATTGGTTTGTAAATCCCGAAAATCTACATGGTAAAATTACAACCATCGTACAGCTCAGT